TATCGATAGAGTTATTGATTAATAACTTGTATACAAAAAATCTCTATAAAAGTATTGAAAATCAGTTAATATATTTGTAAAATTATATTTAAATTTATAATTCAATGACTATTTTGTGCACTTCGGAGAGGATTTATGAGAGGAGTTGTTTTCGGGAGAAAACATTTTTTTCTGTTACACAAAAAAAATTGATTAACAATTTCTTCTTCAAGGCTTCTATATATGGCTTGACATTCAATAAGACTGAATCTGTCACTCAATTATAGCCTTACTTTCAAATATCCAATACACTATATGTTATGGCATTAACTGTATTGTTATCAATACATTTTTATATAAAGTTTATTTTAACTCAAAAACGGGTATTAATTGTAATGAAAAGGCGTTGTTTGAAAATAAATCCTTAAAAAATGCTCATTCAAGGAGTTTTCTCTCTCACTCTCTTTCACTCCCAAAACACACATCACTTTCAATGGTTTGATCAACGATGCGATTCCCGTCAACCCATATAACAATGCAAAACCTAAAACTTTTAACGAGATTTTTTTTGTGCGTAAATTTGTGGGAAATTTTGTTTTTTAAATCCGTTTTAGTGCAAAACATTTGATCACAACTTTTTTTAAAAATTTTTTGAATCTCTAATCAAAAAAAGTTTTATTTTTATCGTCAAAAGAATGGCATTAATTATCATTAAATGATTATAATTATAAACTATGTATCAAAATTGTGATGCAATTGATTGCATTTTTTACAAGCAATTAACGTCTGGGCACTAAATAAGAAAAAATGTTTCAATTATTTTTAAATGCTTTCTATATTTGTTGTGTTTAGGAGTATATAATGCATACATTTTTCTCTATAATGAACTGATTATACGGTTTGCATTCATAATTGGATTTTCCCTCCAAAGTCCTTGGCATTAATAAAAGAAAAATATCAAAATCTTAATTTATATCATGTATTATTATCAATGCTTTTGTTACTTAATAACTGCTTAACAATGATAGCACTGATAGCACAGGTAATAACTAAGCACTTGGTATTAATACTGTAACTGTTAGTACAAAAGTACTACAGAAATAACTAATCATGATATTCCATGATATATCCATTATCTTCATCTCAATTTGAAATTTTAATATATTTTTCGCACTTTTATTTTTACATTGTTTTTTTTTGGTATAAATATTTAATTTTGTAGTTTTATGTTATTCTTGAAGGAAATAAGTGTCAAAAATGGCATTTTTGATCGAATTGATGGAAAATCTAAAATAATAAATACAATTGACGAGAAAATCAATAAATAAATTATGATTTTTTGTGGAATTTCTATGAATTCATCATTAAATAAATTCTCAAACGTTATGCTATGAAAATAAACAACAATTTTGTGTAAATAATTGATTATTTATACAACAAATCAAAATTGCTTACAATCTTATCTTCAATATAAAAAAGTTTTTCTAACATAAAAATTAATAAATTCTAGAAAAGTTTTAAGTTAGTTATTGAATATATTTGTTATATTTTCGCTTTTATAATTTTATTGTTAAAATACTAATTAAAATACCGTAAATAAAAATCAAAAACATTTTACAATTTAATTGTTTTTAACAAAATTAATAAACTCAATCATCTATTTGTATTATGGTAATACTTACGATGATACTTAAACTTATTATTAAATCATATTCTAAGTTATGATCAACAATAGCCAAAAGTTTCATAGACAAATAGTTATAAAAAAAATATCTTAATAGCAAATAAATATAATTTCAATATAACAGATAAAAATTAATTAAAACTATGATTTAACAATTATAGTCTTTACTCTAACATCAAAATTATTTTTCATAACATATATTTTGGAAAAAATGTTTCTACTGAAATACTTTACTGAATATTTAGCCACAACTTTGCAAATATCGGTAAACATAACGATAGAAAATCCAAACCAAATGCCAATCAAACTTCCAATCAATGAGAAGAGCTCTTCAAATATGAGTTTAGGTGTGTGTCGGACGAGTTGGTCGGGCAAAGAGGGCGGTTCTATGACCACAAAGAAGTTATCGGTGTTGTATTGAAAGCGGTCTAACTTTATATCAAACGTCTCGGTGTAACAGTCGACTAGTGATCCGCAATCGGTCTTACATTTATCACCGATAATTTGGTCAACCGATGCGTTATAGGCATCAATATCTCCATTCACTTCTACGATGTAATCGTCGGTGAAGTTGTAGGTCAGGTAATTGCCGGGCCATCGCTTCAATAGTTGTGTTAACTCTTTCGCTCGACACTGAGATATGCATTCGTCCCGAGAGTTAAATCCAATCTCTCTGTAATCAAAGCAATTGGTGTCATAGGGTTTGGGAAGCGATACAACTGATGTCTTTCTGTATACGATATACGAGACATATTTGTCAACGCGTGTGAATTCAATACTATTTAATATCTTATACTTAAATAACAACTCTCGTCGGGGATGAAGGTGTAAATGAATAGAAGGAATGGTATTATTGATCATAATATTAACCATTTCTAAATATAAGTCGAGGAATATTCTGTTGTAATTGTCGAGAAGAAATCGTTTGTCCGATTCGTTGTCCGTTTGTGTGAATAACGAGTAACACATATCGTCAGCATTTATAGATTGTTTTATTTCCGATAATACATTGCAATCCACATAAGGCTTGGATTCATTGATAAGCGGAGGTCTCATTACTCGACAGCTATTATCAATTATAAAATCCATTGAGTATAAGGCGTTCACTTGTTCTCTAATTGTTAGATTAGTATTCATATAGTTTTTGATTTTCTGTCTATTCTCAGCGTCGGAACCGTTTAATGCAAGTCCAGTGAAGTGATCGTCTCTTAATAGGTATGACTTATCGATACAAATACTGACCGCCGGTAAAGAGATTTGCGATGAATTCTCAAAACTCATTGAAATTGTCGTTTCATACGAGAAATACTTTTCGCATATTTTGCTCACTTGATATAAGCAAACGCCTAAACAAACTAAGTAAAATATAACTCGGACAATTAGTTTAACCAATGTTATATTTTCCATTAAAGAGGCTTTATATGCAATCCTTGTTTCTGTGACTTATATTGTGTTTCATTGCATTTCTTTATGATTCGTAATAAATATATTCAATTCATATTCAAAAAAATTTGAAAACAAATTAACATCATAAATTATGATGTTAATTTGTTTTCAAATTATGATTCATAATGGATATGAAATAGTGTTTATAATTTTAGTGTTTTTAATGTACTTTGAATAGCATTATCGATCTTGATAAATTATTTTTTATATGAAACATTTATCTAGATCGTGAGATAATTATCTTATTTATCAAATATAATGTTATGCGATTATTATATATACTTTAAATCAATAGTTGAACTAAACATTTAATTATATCACTTAAGTTTGCTACTTTTTGTGAACTTAATGTTAAATCATTTAATTTACATATTTAACATTAAATCAACATTTGTTATGAATTATAACTTATGATCAATAATAGGCAAAAGTGGCGAATAGACAATATTTTCAGACTCAAAATATTTATTTTAAAAAATTATTTGAATAAAAACAAATATAATTTCAAATTATCCATTAACATTATTTAAAATTTTGATTTGAACGAACAAATAATTTAGATTTTAATGGCATTACTGTGACAAATAAATTATTTGTTGCAACATTTATTTTGACTAGCGTACTTCTATTAAAATATTTTACTGAACATTTAGCCACAACTTTGCAAATATCAGTAAACATAACGATAGAAAATCCAAACCAAAGGCCAACTAAACTTCCAATCAATGAGAAGAGCTCTTCAAATATGAGTTTAGGTGTGTGTCGGACGAGTTGGTCGGGCAAAGAGGGCGGTTCTATGACCACAAAGAAGTCATCGGTGTTGTATTGAAAGCGGTCTAACTTTATATCAAACGTCTCGGCGTAACAGTCGACTAGTGATCCGCAATCGGTCTTACATTTATCACCAATAATGTGGTCAACCGTACAGTTATAGATCTCTAATTCTTCGCCCATCACATCTGCAATGTATTGGTCGGTGAAGTTGTAGGTCAGGTAATTGCCGGGCCATCGCTTCAATAGTTGAGTTAACTCTTTCACTCGACACTGAGATATGCATTCGTCCCGAGAGTTAAATCCAATCTCTCTGTAATCAAAGCAATTTGTGTCATAAGGTTTGGGCAGCGATACAACTGATGTCTTTCTGTATACGATATACGAGACATATTTGTCAACGCGTGTGAATTCAATGCTGTTTGAGATCTTATACTTAAACAATAACTCTTGTCGGGGATGAAAGTGCAAGTGAATGGACGGAACTGTATTATTGATCATAATATTAACCATTTCTAAGTATAAGTCGAGGACTATTCTGTTGTAATTGTCGAGAAGAAATCGTTTGTCCGACTCGTTGTCCGTTTGTGTGAATAACGAGTAACACATATCGTCAGCATTTATAGATTGTTTTATTTCCGACAATACATTGCAATTCACATAAGGCTTGGATTCATTGATAATCGGAGGTCTCATTACTCGACAGCTATTATTAATTATGACATGCATTGAGTATAAGGCGTCCACTTGTTCTCTAATTGTTAGATTAGTATTCATATAGTCTTTCACTTTCTGTCTATTCTCAGCGTCGGAACCGTTTAATGCAAGTCCAGTGAAGTAATCGTCTCTTAATAGGTATGACTTATCAATACAAATACTGACCGCCGGTAAAGAGATTTGCAATGAATTCTCGAAACTCAGTGAAATTGTCGTTTCATACGAGAAGTGCATTATATTTTGCTCACTTGATATAAGCAAACGCCTAAACAAACTAGGTGAAATATAACTCGTGCAATTAGTTTAACCAATGTTATATTTTCCATTAAAAAGTCTTTATATGCAATCCTTATTTCTGTGACTTATGTTGTGTTTTATTAGTTATAAATTATTATATTTCTTTATGATTCGTAATAAATACATTCAATTTATATTTTAAAAATTTGAAAACAAATTAACATGATAATGAATATTAAATGAAATAATGTTGATACTTTTAGTGTTTTTAATATATTTTGAATATCATTATCGATATTGATAAATTATTTTTTATATAAAACATTAAGATAAATGATTTATCTAAATCGTCAGATAATAATCTTATTTATCAAATATAATATTATGAGATTATTATACAGTATATACTTTAGATCAATAGTTGTACTAAAAATTTAATTATATAACTTTACATTAATTTTGGTTATTACTGTTTTATTTTCTTAAATAATAAATTACAAACTTACAAAATTACATTATTAAAACTAAAATTGTATAAATTAAATATCATCAATTTTACTATAAAGCGCTTAAAATTTAGTTTAAATCTTTCATTAAAATTTTGCCTAAAATTGTCCTTAATTATATCAGCTTAACTCTGTGCTTATATTTTACCATTAACTAATGTTAAGTCTACGGAACTAAAACTCTTGTATTATAAAATATTAATTATATACGGTAATCTGCTAAAAATCATTTTTTAAATTTCTTATATTCTACAAAACATTATTTCAATATACAGTATATTTATTTATTTGCAATAGAAATTATAAAAATATCGTATAATACACTACTTTACTAAATAAAATATTGTTCAAGGTTTGATTTGTTCTGGGTTTGTTTTTTTTATAAAGTACAATATTCTAATAGTATATAAAATTCTTATAAATTAAAACAAAATTAACACTAATTTATATTTTAATTTTGTCTGTGTATTTTATACAAAAATTATTTAACAATTAATGTGTGAACAGAATTGATGTAAATATAGTTACTTATTAAAAAATATTAATAGCATCTTTAACAATTAATTCATTAATCATTTAATAAATCATTTATTCATATAATTCAATATTTTAATATTAAATTTTTTACGGCTATCTATTAAAGAGATCATAACCTTAACTGCCAATTAGTTTTTATATACCGTAAGTTAATTATTAAATTATTTAATTAAAATTAATTCATTTAATTAAAATAATTTAATTGAATGACATTTGATATTTTGAACACAAAATTTGTAATATTAGCAAAACGAGTCTAATTTAATTAATTCACATTATTTATTCTCATAATTCATTATTAATATATAAACACTAAAATCGTTATGATTTTAATTTACACCATAAATATAATCACAATTTTGTGTCATGTATTGAATGGCCAAAAGACATTCAATGGGTCTAATGAACAGCTCGTATACGGCGTCGGAGACCAACAAATCGAGAATATATTCGTTCACTTCGATAATCAAACGGTTCATACAATTTCAGAAATGCATACATTTTTATTGATTATTATTAACAATTAATTGTCCAACAGTTGGATATGAATGGGAACAGCGATCTATTCATATGCGTGAACAAAATCAAAGACATTGTGATTCAGTGCACGTCAACCATCGCTGTCCAGTGGAACGTCAAGAAGTTGTATCAACTGAAGTACAACTTCACCGAAGAGCGTATCAATGGATTCAATTACACAGACATACGGCTGGTCAACGACACCAATCAGTATCTACTGTTTGGCCTGACGTATAGCGAAGCGGTCTGTTGTGCGCTAAACGAGTTGTTTGATTGCATTGAATACACTGTGCGAAGAGAGTGCAAAGAGGATGCCATCGAAGAGCTCAAACAAATCAATCAATTAATTCGCGCTCAGAAGCCATACAATTGTACGGATAGTTTTCAAAAGTCCCATAAGTGCAGCACTTTTATCAGAAAAGTCACTAATTATATACTGAATTACGGCCACTCGTCGGCACAATCCGTGTACACATTTCATATACTCGTCATTTTGTTTCACTTTATTTTGTTCATTATTTTTAGCAAATAATTCACATTTTAGCTAATTTTTAAATTATTAATTTTTACACAAAACAAAACATTATTTACAAATAAAGACACACTTTTAGCATAGATTTTTTGTTTGAATAAAATTTATTTATTATATTTTTCAATCAGTTGTATCACATACAGAGTGTAGAGATAGAAAGTTTTAGTAATCAATGCAAAAATAATTACAATAAGTTTAATAATTACAATAAACAATAATATATTAATTGAACAATGTATAAGTTAGTAATTAAAATAACTAGACCGGTACATAACCATCAATGTACACATAATTTACATAATAAATTCAAATATTAATTGAGATCATATTTATTTTTGTACAAACAGTGGGTTTAGTAATAGGAAATTACGTTAAAATTGAGACATAAAAATAATGCTAAATAGATATTTGATGTAAAGATTTTAATAATGAAAACACTAATTGTATGATTAAATAGTAAATGTAAATTATTAAATGAGTTTTAACATTATTTTCAATGATTAACAATTGAAACCCACTATTTGTACAAAACAAGTATTTACGTCACTATAAGAATAAAACAATTTTACACAATCACCCTATTATTAGTCAATTTTTATCTAAACATATTCTTCTGACACAATTATTTAAGACTTTTATATGTAATGCCATTTCACACTCGATATTATCATTACTTGAATATTAGTTTAATAAATGATTGAGCGCTTAATCAGATTGTGATAATTGATCACCACTGTTACCACTGTTGGCATCCTCTTCATTGTCTTCTTCCCATTCCTCTTGAAATGTATGAAACAAATAAACAATTGGTTTAATGAAACAAAAGGCCGAATGCTTGATATCGTCAATACGGGACACAATCCATAAGTCTTTCAATTTATTAGTCTTTGGATCAAAATCTTTGACATTTGTGGTAAACATCACATCAAATGTCAATCGATCGCCGCAGTGGAGGAATGCATTCATATCTTCAATACTTTGGCCATAAATCTGGATAAAGTCTGGTTTCACTATAAATGCTGGCATAAAATCGCCATCAATTACGGGTAAATTGACTTTAGATCCAATGACAGCCGAATGGTTGCCAACCTCTTCGACACTTCCCGAAAGATTCACAATTTTGTGGCCGTATTTATACATGAGTTGAAATTGACGCCAACGCTCTTCGCCCACTAACTCGGGCTTCAGATCAATGAATGGTATCTCCAAAGTGTCGTCCATTTCCACAACAAATTGATTCCCAAATAAGTTAATCATTTGATCCGTCAATACATCGCTTTGGTTCTGATCCATAAGATATTGGTAAGCAGTGGGATATTCTTTGGTGAAATAGTCCTCCACTTCTATCCAAGACTTTTTGCCAAATCTATACAATAGAGTCGACAATGCATTTCGTATTAAAGCGAATCCAGTCTTCGACAAACAGTCGGACAATTGAGACATTTGTACTTCCATTGTGTTTATGGTTAGAGTTCTTTGAAACAAATCAAAGTGGAAGAATGGACTCAATTGGTTCACCAAAAACAACACCACGTTCTCATTATTAAAATTCAAATCCAATTGGTCCGCCTCTGTGTTCTTCAGCTGATCCTCGAAACCAATCCGTGTCTTATAGTATTGCAAATGTTGGCCAAACTTGCATTCAATGGATTCAATCAAATCAGTTATGGTCACCGCTTTGACCGATACCTCCAGATATATGAACACAATTAACTCAAAGAGTGTCAGATTATTGTCAAACGTGTCCAACGAGTGGCTGATCTCCAGATCGATCAAAATCTTTGGTTTTATGAGTCCGGGTCTCGACTCGCCATTCGTGTCCACTTTGGGCTCATTTTTGTCGTCAAAGTACTGATTGTTGGCAACGGATCCGGTCTGCGGGTCGTACGTGAAGTACTCGGTGTTGTCGTAAATAAAACTCAACAACTTTTGCTTCAGATCTGATCCCTGTTTGAGGTCATAGTTGTTGAGCAGCCAATCCTTAAACGGCGTGTATTGGCCGACACAGCCGTTCAGATGGACGGTCCGCACGGGTTTGCCTTCGGCCACACGCTTATCGATGAGTGGCTGTAAGTATTGGATCAGCTCTTGACGCAAATCGGTGGCCATCACGAGGTCTGAGATGTGATCACACGTGCAGTGAATGCCTAATCAATTGGCAGTCAATGCCTTTCACGCAATGCTTTGCTGTTGTGTCACATGTTTTGTGTGTATTCTTACAGTTCACGCATTCATTCATTCATTGCAATTTGCAAAGCATTTCAAAACTTTTTTGCCACTAAAAATCTCATTCAAAACTCTGTAAAGTTTCGTTTCAATGCTTTTATTAAGTTTTAAATCCCTAAAACACTGTATTACAGCATGACCTTGAACAAAAATAGACCTTGAGAATCTGATTAATTAAAATATGACTGAATAGGTATGATGAGCAAGGTGTTTATGTTATAAGCAAATTATAGCTCATAAATGTTCTGAAGTGGGTGCGAACAGTGTATGTGTTCATATTTACTTTAATTATTTTACAAATTAACGTGTTATGTTATGTTACATGAAACTATGTTAAATAAGGAGTCGATTGATCTTTAATATATGGCTGTCCGACTTCGGGTTCGATTGCAGTGACCACTTTTAGCGGAAAATTTAACTTATGCAATTCTAACATGTGATATATGAAATCAATGCCGATTTTAACGTAGAATTATAATATGATAATATGATTTACACAAAGTTAAAACATGAGATGTATACAACTTGCATTATTTTTATGGAAAGTAAAACGTTCTATGACTCAAAGTTCTTAAGTAATAAGAAAAATCNGAGTAATAGATTATTTGGCTAATTTTATTAATAAGTTAACAGTATTGAGCAATTAGCATAAAATCTATGCACACCATCGAGATGATATTACAATATTTTAATTCTACCTTATATTCTATATTGATTTCATGTATTACATGTTAGTATTAGATATGTTAAAATTACCGATAAAAGTGGTCACCCGAGGTCGGGCAGCAATATGTGAAAGATTACTCGACTCCTTATTTGACATAGTTTCATGCCCCATAACATAACATATTGATTTGTTAATAATTAAAGTGAATCTGAACACACACCCTGTTTGGACCCACTTCAGATTTTATTTGCAAATTTACTACCTTGCTCATCTCTAGTTTTGCTCATTTTTGGTGTACATGAATCGGGATACTACTGTATGTACAAGCAATATGTACAAGCAAACCTGTTTAATGGCCCGGGAGCTAAAGGTTAAAAAACAAAAATCAATTCATCTTTCGTTATATAATTGATTGAAATGAACACTATTTGCAAAACAATAGTGTACTTCACTTATTACTTCTGGCAATCGATTTATATCTTTCTAAATCAATCAAATTGTTTCGCATTTTAAATCCATTATTCAAAACCCAATTTTTAATATAATAATCATTGCCATCAAAACAATGGGTTCATTGTAACGGACACTACTGTATAACAAACTTGTGCTAAAAGTACACAATAAACAGAAACTACTCTCAAAACATTAATTTAATGATTAATTTAATACTTTTGAATCAAATGCATGAAAACAAAACCTCAACATAAAAAGGGGTAATATTTAATCAATTATTAAGACATCAATCGATTAAAAATTAGTAGTCATTTGAAAATCAATTGAAAAATCAATATTTATTAAAATTTCAATACAATTTTCAAATAAATGTCCACAAAATGGTCAGACATTAAGATTTTATTTAAAGGAAAAAACCCAAGAGTTTGATCCAATGTCTTTCCACCGGGAAGAGAGTGGCGTTTACTTCAACTTCTTCTTGGGTCGGAGATTATTAGAGTGACCGCACTTGTATTTCTGGGCCAAAATGCGAAGACTCGGCTCAATCACACCTCCCCTCAGACGCAGCACCAGATGAAGAGTCGTCTCTATTGGACACAAGACATACAGACAAATAATCATTAGATATCATGTGAACGGGCGATGAGGTGGTGGTCATCGGCGGTGGAAACGAGACAAACCTTTCTGAATGTAATAGTCAGAGAGAGTGCGGCCGTCTTCCAGCTGTATTGCGAAGCATTGGCCAAAATCGCCCAACATTTTAGTAATTTTTTAAATGTAAAATTCAACGCTAAACCGAATATGAAATCGAACATGTTCTATGTCAAATATTTTTCGAGTTATTCGACTTAGAACTTTTGTTCGAAAAGTATTTTTTAACGAAATATATTAATGTCTTATATGAATTCGATGTAGAATTCAACGCTGAAAACGAATTTGAAATCCAAATCTATGTAGGTCGAATACTTATCAAAATATTCGACTTTAAATATTTATCCGAAAATTCCTAACCTAACTAAATATAACCTAACCTAACTTATATTATGTTATATTTGGTTAGGTTAGGTTAGGTTGGCTGGAGTTTCCATCGGGAAATTTGTCATAAAACAATTTTTACAAAAAACTTGTGCGATTCTGGCCAATGGTGGCCGAAGATGAGTCGCTGCTGATACGGAGGAATGCCTTCCTTGTCCTGAATCTTCGCCTTCACATTCTCGATGGTGTCCGACGGCTCCACCTCTAGAGTGATGGTCTTTCCCGTCAGTGTCTTCACGAAGATCTGCATCGCGTCTATCGATTGCAATCAAAAGTCAATGCGTTTTGAATGCAATACAAGAGTAAAGGAAACCACTTTTGTATCAATACTATCGCTCACCAAATGTATAGACATTCACTTTTCAATTGTATTTTGTATTTGATATTGTTTTTGAAGTTTTTATTTTTCACTAAAAGTTTGCTTCACTTCTCTTCGGTGTGTTTTGATATGAAATTGATTGCAAATTTATTTGAAATTGTTATGAAAACAATTGACATGTTTTTTCAAACAAAAATCAATGTTAAATATTTGCTAATTCATTGTGAAAACTGATCTGTCACTTGAAATGACTCATTTCACTCAAACAATTCTGTAGAGAAAGTGATTAAAACATTATTTTTACTATTGATAATCATAGAGAGTATTATAATTTAATTATTAAATTTTAATACTTGGTTAATATAGTAGTAACCAACGGATTACTATAAATACTATGTAATCCTAAGAAACCGATATTAAATCTCTTAAATATCGTCCTCTAATCTTCATTACGTTTAATGTATAAATTGTAAAATTAATTCACAAACAAATTTATTTTAATTTAAAAACAATACAATAATATTTGCACTTTTGTTTAAAACGAGTGCTCTTTTAATAATTCAATGTAAATATAGATATTGTTAAAGAAATAAAATCATAGGCATTTCATTATGTACTTAAAATCTAATACAATCATCTCTTGGGTAAAATAAAATCAAAATATAAAATTAAAATTCATAGTGTATTACATTTGTCTGAAATTAAGTTAAATCACGAGTTCGTAAAAATGTATATAAATGTCGTGTAATTTAGATCTAAACTCTTAAAATTTGATAGACTTATTGTACTGTGAAAGACATGTACGAGAGTGTCATTTATCGGCGCCATTCCATCGCGGGTCTAGTCTTTATCGGGTCCGACGAGGGGTCGTATGTCTCCAGCTTTACGTCAAGCGTTTTGCAGAGAAGAGTCATAACGTTGTCGACGTAGTCATGGATTACAAGATCTGCTTTGGGATCAAATTTGGTCG